CGGACAGGCCGTCAGAAAGTGGGGTTCGCTCGAACCGGGCGCCGAGCCGCCGCCGGAGCTGGACGGCGGCCGCACGGCTCCGTTGGCTCCCGCGCGGCAGCCGCTCCAGCCGATCTCTGCGCTACCCTCACACCAAAAATTAAAAAGCACAAGACCAAACGTTAAGGAACATTCATAGTAAATCTAGCCTGTTGCTATATATCCGACAAGTTAAATAAAAAGAAAAAAAATCATATTTGGAAAAAACCCGACAACATCATTCCAGTAAGGTTATACACATCCTTAGCAATTTACTTTGCTCAGCACGACTCTAGTGCTTTGGACATGGAACAATCAAACAAGTTTTGTGAGCAGAAAAGTGACACAGATTTATTCTTTACATATTTTTGTTTTTCTTTCTAGGCAACTCTACAGACTTCAGATCTTTTGCCTCGCAAGGTAGATCACCTTATTCCCCCAAAGGCGGCCAGGCTCTTTAAACATGCACATCTCCGTAGCTTCCAGGCCGCGTTTTTTACTGATTTTTTTTTTGTTTGGTTTTGTTTAAATTCTGTGGACTACCAGGTCGTCCCCGTTCCTAAAAACTCTACATCAGTGTTCAGGGTGGCCTGAGCGCTGGTCAGGCTCCTCGCGGGGTTACAGGATCACGCAGAAGAACTTCTTCTCTCTAAAGGGGTTTTCGGAGGCCGGGACGGGGGTCAGGAGAGGGTCCTCCTTGGCGTGGGCTTCGCAGTACGCCATCAAGTCTGCCGCGGCTTTGGACACCTGGAAGAAGGAGCGGGGCGTCAGGCACAGGCGGGATCGTCCTTCCCCCTGCGCGCGCGGCAGAGCGGCTACGCGCCCGCGCGCCCGAGCACGGTCTCTTTTTCTGTCTTTTTTCCCCATCGCCGGCCGCGGCGCCGCTGGCCATCCCGCCTTACCTTTATTCTGTCGATGTTGGCCTCCATCTTCAGCTGCTCCACCAGCTTGCGGGCTTGGGCGATGCTCGCGGTGTTGTTGCTCGCCATCGGCGGGCCAGGCGCGCGCTCCGGGCGGGCTGCGGACGCAAAGGCGTGCGGCGGTCGCTCCCTCTTGGCCAAGTGTAGGCCACACCGAGATATATATATATATAAAATATATATGTGTGTGTGTGTATATATATCTCAGCCCCTGGTTACATAGTAATGCAGCTCAAAATATATTTGAATATATCAGCAAAGTTACAACTGTAGTCTCTTAGTGATTCTCATGGGTTATTATTGAATCTGTTTTACCAGTCCAAAAATAGCTATCAGCCATGAGTGATCTGCTGGGAGAAAAATCAAGTGCATCTTAAAAATTGCATTTCCAACTGCTAATCAGAATCTTAGTCTATTCCAAAGCCTCTTGAAGCAAATACAATTGTTTTCATGCTTGCTTTGGATGTGACCCGTAAGAAATTTGCACCATGGCATGATGTATTAATTTGTGGAAACAGAGAGAGGGAAGGAGACATAAACCTGCTTCTGACTCATGGGATTTTGACCTTCAGTTTCTGTAAATCTAGTACATTTTGAAAAAAAAACTGATAGAAAAATATGTAATGTTAATCTCCAGGTACAGGAGAACAAATGATAATGAGGAAAAATGTGTTTTAGTCTTTTGTAAAATAAGTATATGTATTGCCGGGAAGTATTATCACCACATCTGTATTACAGAATCGTTTAGGTTGGAAGGGACCTCTGGAGATCATCTAGTCCAACCTCCCGGCAGCGGGGAAGGCGGCAGCGGCCGGCGAGGCGGACAGACGGCGGGCTAACGGGTAAGGACGCTATTAGCGTTTCAGGCTGATGAGGTTTATCCAGCGCAGGACACAGGGTACCGTCCTGTCTGGGCTCCGCGCCGCAACGGGATCCCGCAAGAGCGTTTCCACGCTCGTCCACGGCGCGGAGGGATCGCGGCTTTTTTACCGCCCGCGTTCGTAGGTTGAAGTCACGTCGAAAAAACAGGCCAAAGCGCTTGCAACGGGCGGCTGCGCTCCAGCCTGGCTTCGGCGTTTCGCTGCCTGGTACCTACGCGCCCAAAACGTCTAACGTCCCTCTTGCCTCTTCGCTGAGCAAAGAAGGACGAGCGACGTATTCGAGCGACGTTTTCCGCTTAAACGGAACAGCGAACCGGCCATCCCTTGCCCCCGGCTCCGGGGCACCAAATCCGGGGCCAACTGAGATGCCTGGGGGCGATCGGGATTGATTCGGCTCGACCCAGACGGGCGCGGGCGCTGCAAGCCCCTGCCCAGCGGGGAGAGATTTGGGTTTAATTGTGGGGGGGTGGAGGAGGCAAGCGGTGCCGTCTCCTCCATCGCAGCCACGGCCCCGCCTGGGGCAGGAGGCTTAATAGCTCCAAATTACAGGCGTTTCGTTATTTCCGTAAGCGAGGAAAACGTTACGAGTCGGAGCCGTGCCCGCGGGCTCCGGTCCTGCAGCGTTTTCAGCCCCTTCCCAGTGTCCGACGCGGCGTCTCCAGCGCCGAGAAGCGGCTCGCAGGCCCGAGAAGTGCCGGCGAATAAATTCATTAACTAAAAGGCGCCAGAGTGGGGAAAAAACCCCGAGCCGGTTTCCATGGAAACCGCTC